TAATATCTATTGCATAATTAAAATTAATTTTAACAAATCTTAAATAATCTTAATTACTGTAAATTAAAGTTTTTGAATAATGAATAGTTAATATTTATTTATAATTAATAACAATTAATATTATTTAGGGTTATAATCTAAAAAAGTGTCGAAAAGCTCCTCACATACTACTCCGAGTAGGTTATCGATAAACTAGCTTATGTGCATCCAAATATTGGTGGTACTCATTAAGAGTACTGGTTTTGGTTGTACGAGTGGTATGTGATAGAAATTGCACACAGTATTTCAAGTGTTTGGAAAAGTTTGTCATATATGTGTATCAGTCAAAAATGTGATCTTCGGTGGAACCCAAAAGTCAAGTTTTCGTATTTTGAAATATATAAATTGAAAGCAACGTCGACGAAAACGACACGGGATTTTTCTATTTGAGAAGTAACATCAAGACTATGTCGAGTAAGGGATTTACTTCAATCATTACAAATAAAACAGGACTCAAAAGCATATACTTGGCATATAAATTTATTATTTTAAATTTTTTATATGTAAATTAATTATGATAAAACATATTATATATCTCACCGACAAATAATTGATTAATGAATAAGAAATAATTGACATTTCTTCTATTTCATGACATATTCCATGATTATCGTTTTTCATACAGTAAATAATACTTTCAATAATCTTCTTTCAAACCCGTCAATCCACCAATTAAGAGGATTAAAATTGGGTTAGGTCTAGCTTAACCCGTCCAACCCACTGCAAATTTTATTTATATACATGATATAAGAAATAAAAAAATCATTTAGACGATTTTACAGCTTAAAGTGTGTGTGTGTGTGTATATATATATATATATATATATATATATATATGGGAGCCGCCAGTTGCCATTTCCGACCACAACTTTTACTCACGCGCCATCCACCCGCTGTTATCAGATCAATCACATCAACTCAAGTTAATCTACCATCAAGTATTTCAATCCGATGTTGTAAAAAATTTAAATTATAGGTATTGTATTATTTGAACTCAACTCAACCTAATGAATTCGATAACATTTTTCTTTTTAAATTTAATATCTATATTAGACAATTACACTATCATATACCTTTTTTATATACACATATTTTTAATTTATTCTCCATCTTTATATAATTCATTCTTATATATGTTTAGAAACTGTGAACATATATATGCAAATGTGATATATGTAAGATTTAAGAAGTATAAATAAGTTATATCAAATGGTTGACGATGAAAAAGAATTTATGAGTAGAAAACTAACATATTAAAGGTTAGAAAAATATTTGAATATAGCAAAGTATCAACCCGACTAACCCGTACGGTTTGGGTTAGTTTGGGTTGCATTTTGGTTTGGATTGAGTTAGGTTAATAATCAATCATCATATAGACATATAAAATGATCAAAAATGACATTTTGAAAAATAATCAATTACAAATATTTTGTACTATAATTTAAAAAAAAATTCTAATAATATAATTAAAAACAAATTGCTAATAAATAAAATACAAACAAGATAATAAAGAAAAATTAAATAATATGACAGGTTAATACAAATTTTAGATTATGATCAAGTACACGAGGGGAKATGGGCCAACGAAGCAAAGCGAATGCGAGACCAAATGCAGCAAGGATTGTAAGTGTATGGGGTATTTCTATCATACGGATCGATCAAGGTGTTGGATCGCTTACGATTTGAANTATATATATATATATATATATTAAAACAAGATTTTAGATTAAAAGTTATGTAGAATATGTTAAAACAAGATTTTAAGTAGCATGAGACGTGGCGTCACAGTGAAATTAGGCCATAAACCAATGACAAGACCACATATTATGAAAACGTGACTTATAGCGGGAAAATATGTATGTATGTGTGTGTGTATATATATATACATATATATATATAATTAGACACATGTATTCTACTGTTGTTACTCAATAACTTTAACGATATTGAACAAGTTAAAATCATATAAGAATACCAAAATAATATATTGATATTATATATACAAAAGTTTAGAATATATATTAAAAACTATAAATTAAAACACGAAAAATATATAAAAATATATTATAAAAAGACTTATAAAAACATGACTAGGAGGGAGACTTAATTTATCATCAAAGACAAGGCTAATAAGAATACGCACAACTTGAGGTCTTTTTAAACATTACTTAATAATAATTTTAATTATAATAATAAAAAACCATAAAATACGACCTCAAGAATAAACTTTACTATAATGAATTTAAAAAAAATACTTTCCATAAATAGCTTTTTGTTTTTATATTGCATAACCCATGTGATAATATTCAATAATTAAAAGGTCATATATCCAACCTGGATTACTCCTTTATTTTTCTACTTATTATACAAATATATTATTGTTTTATAATAAAGATATTTGTGCAATACAACAAAATAAATTTCGATTTTAATATTTAGTTTTTATTTTTTGTCTTTATCAATGTAATACGATTTTATGTGAGAGTTCATACATAAAAATAATTTTTAAAAGTTTTTGACAAATAATTTATAATATAATATAGATATATGGATGTTTCGGAAATATGGATGTATTGTTCCAAAGGGGCCGCCCATTATGTAAAGATCCAAATTAATAAATAAAATATAAAAATAAATTGAATTTATGATGCCCCTTAGTTGTACTGTACAAGTGGATAATGCATGAGTTATCCTTTTATGACCTTATCCCATTCCCACCTCTATCTCTATATATATATCGCTTCTGTGAAGCTCTCCAACTCACCACCGAATATGGCTTCCATTTCACTTCTCTTCTTCATCTCCTTCCAACTTCTTTGTTCCATCTCTCGAGCTGTTGTACCTGCTTCAGACACATTCACTTACGTAAACGAAGGTGAATTCGGAGAATATATAGTCGAGTACGATGCCAATTATCGAGCTCTTTCCCCTTTTAGTAACCCTTTCCAACTTTGTTTCTATAACACCACCCCTAATGCATTCACTCTAGCTCTACGTATGGGTACTGTCCGATCCGAATCCCTCATGCGTTGGGTTTGGGAAGCTAACCGTGGCAACCCAGTTCGTGAAAACGCCACCCTCACCTTCGGCACCGACGGAAACCTGGTTCTGGCTGATGCCGACGGCAAGGTTGCATGGCAGACTAACACCGCCAACAAGGGTGTCGTTGGTTTTCAGCTGCTTCCAACTGGTAACATGGTTCTTCATGATGGGAAGGGTAATTTCATATGGCAAAGTTTTGATTCACCAACCGACACTCTYTTGGTGGGTCAATATCTCCGAGCCGGTGGTCCAAGTAAGCTTGTGAGTCGGAGTTCGGAGGTGAACAACGTCGATGGAGCATACAGCTTGGTGATGRAGCCCAAAGGGTTAGCCATGTATTAYAAGAGCCCKAACKCGSCTCGTCCAATGSTGTAYTGGACATCTWCCGAATGGTTCACCATTGATAAGGGTAGTTTAACCAATTTRACTCTCACTTCCGAGCCAGATACYGATGAGGGTTTTCTKTATTACTTGACRTTTCAGTACTTTATGACAAACCCATCATCCAATTCAAATCGAAACATGGCGTTTTCRCGATACAATAACACCTTATCGTACCTMCGATTGGGGATAGATGGAAACCTTAGATTCTTGACGTWTAACCCYAACGTGSAAGGTGTTTCTTGGGAAGTTATATACACGTTTTTCGATAGGCGTTCYATGGAAGGCGAGTGCCAGTTACCGGAAAGATGTGGGAAGTTTGGTSTYTGTGAGGATAGCCAGTGTGTGGCTTGCCCAACACCAAATGGGCTAAGTGGGTGGAGTAAAGATTGCGAKTCSMAAAAGGTGACATCTTGCAAGAGTGGTGAGTTTGGGTACTATAAGCTCGAAGGRGTTGACCATTTTATGATCAAGTACACGAGGGGAGATGGGCCAACGAAGCAAACCGACTGCGAGACCAAATGCAGCAAGGATTGTAAGTGTATGGGGTATTTCTATCATACGGATCGATCAAGGTGTTGGATCGCGTACGATTTGAAAACATTAACAAGAGTTGGGAACTCGACGAATTTGGCCTACATCAAAACATCCAAAAAGTATTAGACATGTGGATTTATTGTTATGAGGATGGTGTTGTGTTTGATGTGATTTGTAATAAGTATCTATCAATCTGTGAAAGATATGATGAGATTTGGATAATTGTATTTTAAAATAATTATAAAATGATTTATAATCGAAATCCAGGAAATGAAAGCAACCCCAGCCACTGCCATTGGAACTTAAACGGGAATAAATTAAATATGCCCAATGATATGGATCATGGGAAGCCATCGGTTGCCGTTTGCGACCACGACTCTGACTCGCCACCGTATCATATTTTGCTTTGAATATATATATATAAACATCCACAATATGCATTTATATTAAGTGTGAGTGGATCGTTCAACACCTACAGCACAAACCTGTTTTTGACTGTAAATTATGGATGTTGTAGAGCTTCTCGTAGAAATAAAAAAACTTAAAAATTTAAGAGAAATTAATAAAAATAAGATCTAAGTTTTCTATTTTGTTTTGAATAATTAAATTTCTGAACATTTTTTTAACCCAAAAAAGACTATGTTACCGGTTAAAAAGGGTTTAAAGTAAAATGAAACTAAAAATTTGTTTTATCTTTCCAAAACACTATGTCTTTAAAATCACTTGTACAGAACGGCATCGCTCCCTCTAGTCCACTCCTTGTCCCATTATTATCCATTCTTCATACCATCTATTGCTACAAAAGTACAAATGGCTCATGTCATTGATCTCCCTCTTTTTGATTTATTTTTCTTTTTGTATTTCCGTTTATCTTCTTTTACAATCAAAGATAGGGAGATGTTCGCAAGGCCAACAGTGGTAGTGGACTGTGATAGAGAACAAACGACGATGAGGAGATGAGAGGTGTTGAGAGGTTTGAATAACGTAGGATTTGGGAACAGTAAAATTAATATAGGTTTTTTTTTACTTTAAAACATGTTTAGTTCGGGTTTCATGTAGCTTATTTGGGATAACAAGATTTAAGTAGAGGTTTTTTTAAAATAAATAAATCTTTATAATTATGAAACAAGGAATATACCCTTTCTTTCTCGATATATTAATAAAAATATGAAGAAAAAAATCATTTTCATTGAAGACATTATTTGTTTTAGATTTTAAAAAGACAAATTACAACCACAAGGATGGTGCTTGATTGGTTTGAGCTTGTCTCCAAATATCAAAAATACCAGGAGGTCCTAGGTTCAAATCCAAGAAGGAATAAAAATCTCCTTCTGGTTACAAAGGTTCAAATGCGGTGACTTCGGGTTATCTGCAAAGTAGATGGTCTCCTTGGGATTAGTCGACTCGAATAGCAGGTTGGATATCCAGGTTAATAAAAAAAAAAGACAAATTACATGTGTTTGTTTGTTATGACTTGTGACTTGTGAGAGTTATGGTCCTTGTAACGTGGGCCTGGGCTTTATTAACAAAACAACTCTCAAAGGCTCATGACAGAGGGCAAATCGGTGAATTCGCACTCCTCCTCTGATCAGAATTGAGTAGGTTGTCTTCACTTGCAAACATGATCCTCAGCCCTTGGCGGAAAGGCATGACACGTGGCATCACTTAGATATTTACGTGTGTTGTCAAAGTCAAAAATATTGGAGCTTGACGTATTTATTGGTTTAAGTGTATCACATTGTTTTGATGATTGTAAATCAACCATATATTGCTTTCTACTATTTTACTTGATGTAAATTATATTATATATTGTAATTATCCCATGATTTTTTTATCAGAATCTTATCATGTCTCCGATCGTTTAATCTAACTGATTCAATCATCTTGCTTGACTCGAAGTGTCAACTGTGATAGCAATGTGATACCCAATCATCTTACTCGACTCAAAGTGTTAACTGTGATAGCAATGTGATTATCAATCAACTTCTACATATCGATTCGAAACATTAATTGTGATAATCAATCAACTTCTACTAATCGATTCATCAGCTCTAACAACAATGTAATACAGATTCAATATTTGTAATCCAAATGTGATAATTGTGGTGACACTTGTGATAAGAATGGTGTTATTACAAAGGTGTGATAGCAATGTGATACACAGTCATCTTCTGCTAATCGATTTGTTAATTATGATCAATGTGATAGCCACTCAACTTCTCGTACTCGATGTGTTAACTGCGATAGCAATGTGATAAATATGAAACTAAAAAATTAATTAATTACCTTAATCTAAAATCCTAATTAGCTAATTTAATTTAATACTTTATAACTGTATACTTTAATGTAATTATGTAAAAAGATCCAATTGCATCTCGAAACCAATTTAACGCACATTAGACGGTTTGTGTAAGAGTTCATGGATTTTTAAGATGTTTATTATCGATTTTAAAAATAAAATAATATTATGAAATCGTGATATTAAAGTTATAAATCACGAGTGGAATAATAACATACTTTTCAACATTCAAATAAATATTATGTTTCGTCATCAATTTTATCAACCAAATCTATTAAAGACAATATACGGTGATTCCTCTAACTTCGTTAGCAGGGACAGACCTATGTACAGTATATCTGAGTGAACTCCCATACACCCGCTCAACTTACTTTCACAAGCAGAATTTTTTTTGGATATGAAACGTGCACTGTTAAACTTTGAGGGGTGCTTCGGGATATAAGAAGATATTAGAAACATCAACAAAAAAAAAACGAAAGAAATACCTCAAAATCAACGGAAATTTGAAAAAATCTCTCGAAATCAAACCGAACCAAAAACAACGTTGTTTTTAAATCTTAAACCGAAGCTCTTTTAAGTCATTGTTTGCCTCTAACTAGAGTGATGCTTATATGTGATATACAGATGCTTGGTATACCTAGGGCTTTAAACGAATCGAGTCGAGTAGTAGTTATTGGAGCGTGGCCCGAAAAAATGATATCAAGCTCAAGCTCGATTAACTCGTTTATTTACTCAAGCTCGGTGATTTTTATATTTTGATTATATAATTTGTAAACATATAAATTTGTTTTCCCTCGAAAAAGTATATGCTCGAATGGCTCTCTCGACTCAACTCATAAAGTGTAATCGAACTTTCGAACGAGTTAAGTCGAACGTTGGTGTTTTGGAGTTGGGGTTGAAATCGAGTCGACTCAGTGACTGTTCAAATCTGATCTAGAAGGTTTGACGGTGTGTAATGGTTCCCTTAGAAAAAGGCAAGATGCATATGGTTCAATGGCACGAAAGTCTTACGTGATTGGTGAGAGACTAAAACATTAACTTTGTAAAAGTATCATTCCACTTATAGTTTAAATATTCTTGAAAATATAACAATTTAAAAAATGAATTTTTAATTTTTTTATATAATCTATAAAAATTAATAGTTTATATAATCACAAAACATATAAATATTTAATATATATATATATATATATATATATATATGGTTCAAATACTAACCCAATATTTTGTGCAAACTTTGCTAACCCACATCAACCAATAATGTTGCATCTTTGGGTTTGGTTAAAATGTAACTTACATATTAATGATAAGGGTATTTAGGTCATTAGTCATTCTTATGTAACTCCCAAATATTTTAATTGGGAGTTACAAATCCTACAATATCTCAAATTGATCTTCATCTAATAATGACATGAAGATTCAAATATGTTCATCTTATTGACAACTAATTCACATATAAAACCACCTACAACGAACATCATGCACGAACAGATATAAAGTACAGGTATCGGTTTTATCTGCACAAYCCCTGTTTTTGTTAATGTGCATGTCTCATCGTCGTGCATGTGTATCACTACGAGCATGCATCAAGGTTGAAGAACATGATCATATGACCAACATATATCGATTATAGTGTTCATTAGGTTCACACGGTGTAGCTAATGTTCATATATCTAGGGTTCACACGGTGTAGCTAATGTTCATATATCTAGGGTTCACACCATAGGGTTCACATGAATGTTCATACCTTGATATAGGCACGAAGATGAACGATTGTTCATACACATATTAATTAATACAAATTTTTGACCAATTTATCCTTTGAACAATTGTTCATACACATATTAATTAATATATTAATTAAATTATTGTTTATTTAATCTCATTTAATAATAACCGTTAGATGAGAAAATGAACGATTAAGATGGGTTAGCATAGTTTGCACAAAATATTGGGTTAGTATTTAAACCAGCCCCTATATATATATATATATATAATAAAAAAGTAAATTCTTAATGGAATCCATGTAACCACTTGCACCGACCATTGAAGTTAGGTGATAAGGCATGTGACTTTTCATAATTAATATTTTATAGCGTATCACTTCATCTCTCTCTTTCTTCCTTTTTCTCTCTCACACACGTATACATATACTAGTAATATATCCGCTACAATGTAATAGATATAAATTATTATGTAAATCAGTAATAAAAAAGTGCAATAATTTGTAATCAGATGTATGTTCTCTGGTTAAAAGTTAAATGCAAGTGGAAATATTTATGTCAAGTTAGAATGTTCCCAACCCTTATGTCGCGATGAAGCACCACATCAATTGTCAGAGTATTGTCTTTAATTGGAGGTCTTGTCAAACACCGATATTACTGAAACCCACAATCATTAACCTTGTGGGATAACCATAACTCTCAACGATCATGCACTTTTGACTAATTTACTTCTAAAACTATAATTACAATTCGTTTGATACATATGAAACTGAAAAAATGGTATTGTAAACCTGGTTCAATCATTGTCAGAACCAGTCCAAAGCGAAGTTCTATGTAACCGTGATCCAATTCAACAAGCCAACCTCAATTCACTTTAGAGCCAGCTTTATATGTAATTCCTGAAATCGTCACTTTTCACACAAAGACCTTATGCATATGTATATGTATGTACACCTGATCTAATTAAACAGCCAATAAGCACCAATATAAAAAAAAAGTCTACTAATTAACTTGAAGTATGAAAATGTTTTTAAAAATGTCTCATATTTGACTTAATTTGGTAAGACAAAAAGTAGTTACAAGTTTATTAACTTGTACCATTTGATATATTAGTGTCTTGTAAACTATTCATGTATTTAAAAAATAACTATCGACACTAAAATGAAAATAAACATAGAAGGGGGGTTAAAATGGCATGTTTTGAAACTATTGTGCCATTGTGTAACTTCCTCATACGTTATATTTTCTACTTGTC